ATCAAAAATGCTGTTTCTTAGAACAAAAAAGTACTAATAGAGGGAAAATACGTGATTGGCATCCAACGGAACATAAACACAATGGTAATCCAAATCACTGAGGAATCTGGAGTATCATCACTGACGCATATAGTTCGCAAGGATGACAAATTCACTGTCACCGTAAGTCCGTTACACCAGCCTTTTGAGCGGTTCTCGATATAAACGTAGTAGAATTAAATCATCCTTCTCTTATTTTTAGGGGCCAAAATCTTTTGGGTACGTTACAACAGATGCTAAGGATAGGAATATCAAAGTGACCGTCAATTTCTTGAGTCCCGAAGACAAGGAAAATGCCCTTCGCGATCTACAGAAAGTAGGTTTATTACTTGATTATCAAGGTTTGCTAGGAAAATACTGAATTGGCTACTGATATCATGGATATTTCACAGGGAATAAATATGGCTACCGAGAACGAAGATTAAGCATATCTGGTGGAAGGATTATGTATTTTATGGATTTTCTGCTGCTGCCGTCACAAGTTCCAACCTGGTCAATCAACTCTCATTAAGTTGATTATTTGCTCAAGCACCCGAAAAAAAATTTTTCCACATGTCTATAATTTTCGTCTTACTCTCTACCGTAGCCAAGTCCTTTCCTGGACTGTTGGCTGCCTACAGATGTTCGGCATACTTTTTTCACTTCAGTCTATAGCAGTCGAAGACCTCACCATTTTAAGCATTGCGCCAATACATCGCAACACTTTCCGTCTCAGTATTACTTGAATATGAATCTCGAGCCATTCCGCGTAGATCACTCAGTCTTACAACACCGTCCATATTTCTATTATAAAGTCACTTGATGTTTTCATCAAAGTAAATGCAGCCGTGACATGTGACTTGCAAGTTTTATTTCTCAACCACAGTGGCCTAAAGGTGCACGAGAAAATTTTAGAAGCGTATCTTTAGATGAAAGTCTTATGAAAAAATGTTTTCTTAAAACGTTCTAGTAAAATTTTGTTTTAATAAGACCCTTTCAAAATTCCCCGGTGCGCCTTCAGATCACAGAGGCTTACGTACAAGATTTCCAAGTCTCACATTATGACTGCGTTTGCTATGGAAGAAACGTCGAGGCTTTGTCTACATATTTAAGCGTTGATTAATAAAGATAGAATTCCTTATTAAGTGGTTCTTGAGAAGTTTTAGCAGAGAATGAGCGCAAATATGTTTGTGAGAATTATGGAAGTGGCGACAAATTATTTTAAACATTAGCGTTAGAGCGGCCATACATTCAACTTTTATTGTGTCATTTTTGGAAGGATAACAGCGTTACAGTGAACTTGCGAATGAGATCTACAGAGGGAGAGTATGTTTTCCGGGTTTTTGCGTTGTTTAAAGTAATAATATTCGGTTATGGTGATTAATACAGTAATAACCGAGAAAAAAAAAAAACAATCGCATCAAGTGCCGGAGAGCTCACCTAAAGAATGTTTGTCGGAAGAATTCCTCGCGACTGTTACGGTGAACTGGTCGGTAGTTAACGGATGACCTGCCATGTCTGGGGCCCTGGTACCCTGTAATTTTTTTTTTCAAGAACTGGGACTCACAAAGTGGTTGAGAAAGCATTAGCTTCAAGCGAAATCCCACACCAGTTTCGTATCTGGGGTATTGGCGACTACTGCAGGGGGTAATGCTGTACACTTCCTTTACGTTTTTGCTTCTTTTTTCTCGACGATCGCTCTGACTATGATTATGAATCGACGGTTGCTGTTGACTTGTCAGGAACGAGTTGCTGGAATGTGTCGCTGCCGGACAAGTAAGGGAATTTTGCTTCTCACGCGCTGCCTTTGCTAATAAGTCCTTGTACTTCTTCTCCTAAACCAGTTTTGCAATAATTCCTAACCACTGAAGGATTTGGAAGGTCGAAAGAGAACCCGTGCTACAATTTTATACTGGACTGACCTGCTCACTATGACCTTTTGGTCGTACAGATATTTCCATTCCGTACAAGGGGATTTTATCGAGGCACTGAGAGGCAAAAATAACTGATTCAGGGTCTTTAAAGATCACAAGAGAGTACCGATATCCTCTTTTGAAGTTCAATATAACTTTCTCAACGGGTCCCATCTTAAAACACTGCCAAAGAATTAAAAGGCCGCATAGGTTTGCCACAACAAGTTCAGTAAATGAAGAGCATTTGTAGAAGTGACACCAGTCACTAATGGTCGGGAACGTTAAAGCTTTTCTTCTCAGTCCCTGGTTTACTCGCAGAACAGTGCAGGTAAAGGTGTTGCAATTTTTTTTTTCGAAGGGAAGTGGAGGGTGGACGGGTAAGGTGTTATGCAGAATGTTTTTTAATTCAAAAGCTTTAATCAAGAATAGACTAAAATAACTAAAAACTATCGGAACTGGTTACAGTTCGCTTAGTCTGGATGTAAAAGTCTCCTGTTTATCGCGGTAATTTATGGTAAACAATACAACAAAGTTGTTCCTTAAAAGTAGATACCAATTAGAATAAACTACTTTTCGCTATTGGGAATTATTTTTATATTGCAAATTTTTTCACATTCGGCGTCTGTCTAGGACGTGTACAACAATTATCAGCTTAAATATTGCTGGAATAAGTATAAGTGCGGTAAAAGGTAGCAATGATAATAAAATAAAAAACATGTGGCAAAAACCAAGGAAAGAAAACTGTGCATCGATTGGTCTGAGAAGTGAAGCGCCAATTTAAGTGTACTGGATCAACCGCCAATACATAAAGAGAACCTACAATGCCGATCAAAGTCTAGAAGGTTCAAGTGGATGATAAAAAGAGAACCAACTCCTAAATCAATCTTAAAGGCAGGGGAGATTTAGCATCTAAAGAAAAGTGCTACAAATTTGTTATTCTTCACATTATCAACTTTACATATATACGTCCTCTTATAAATATATATAAAAGACAACCTGGATAAACATTTCTTCCAGTATGGATTGAGTAACTTGTTCATGAAGATTTGTTACATAACATGTCCTTTCACTTTCGTCACACATTTTCTGAAAGTGGGATGCAGTAACGATTCAGGAAAATAAATTACGATTTTGACAGCGATTGAACAATCGTTAACGGTTACGACAGCAGCGACAGATATATCAGTAAAACAAATCCTCTAATTCTGCGATACAGGTCAGTGGATATTTCGTTACTGTTAATAACACTGACGACACGGACGACATCTTAAATTATTGCAGCTGATATCCTTCACGTAAACTGCACCGTTTTTGGATAGGCGTCTGCACGTTGGCGACTTTCCAACCGCATACGTTGCCGCTTCTTCGATGGCACGGTGTTGTTTCGGTCCTCATCACTGCTGATTTGTGTGCTGACGGATATTTAGCAGTTCTAATTAGATGTTGCCACAGAAACCTTCCTGTTTTTCGAGTAGTTGTTTTTGTCAGTGATGGTGTGTTAATGTATTCATTTATAGCTCTTACAATGAAAAAAGCATTGTTTGAACGGTTATTTTTGTTGTTTTTTTACATTGTTTAGAGTGTTCACGTATACTAATTAAACAGAGGATAGTATGTGTTGAAATGTTTTCATTTCGCTGCAGGTCAGTCTTTTTTTTCTATAGCTAGGTTTTGTTTTCTGATCCTCATCTTTTTTCTTCCATTATTTTTCACCGTACTGTGTCTTGCACACTGTGAAAGATACATCTCTCGGAAATAGTTGTGATAAATAAATAAGAATACGCTTTATTTGTTGGTTGCAGTTACGTTTGAGTTTGTTGATAACCGTTTTTTAGAGTGTAGTTTAAGTAACTGATAGACACATTATTTTAGGAACTTATGCAGTTTTTTTGAAAATGAAACGATTTTTTTTCTACTGCCTTTTTTCCTTTTTTTTTTTTGTGATCACTCTATATGCAAGCATATAACTTATATTAAATCTTTTGTGGTAGCCCGATGAATAACAGTACTTTTACTTCTGTAATAAGATAACGATTATTTGTAAACTGTTTCTGCTTTTGTGTTCCAGCTATACTGGAAGAACGTTAAGATATTTTATTATGCTCTTTTCGGATCTGACGTCGTTTGTACCTTTCGGCACTTGGAAAGAAGTTGAAGGTTAGTTTGATGGAAAGAAAAGATTTTTGTTATGTGCTATTTTTCTCTACTTGTTTCTTCTTGTTTGACAAATGAACGCTGCTTCCTTATGTATCTTCATTTTTAGCCAAAATTTTTAACTTATAAATAGGAACAGTACCACAGCTAGCATCTTCTGGAGCTTTTGAATGATATACTGTCACCGTAGATTTGTTCGTTTTCTAGCTTCGTCTTTATGCGTGTTGCGTATTTTGGCACATCGTACTAGTAATTTTTGGGGTTCTGGTTTTGTTGCGATTTGTCTTTTCATAATTGCTTCAATTTTTTTAGCACTGTTGGGGCCTCCATTATATAATTTTATTCATTGTCTTCGATTCTGAAGTATACTTCTTGAAATGGCTGACTCCAGTTGGGGCTGGGACTCTAGTCAGAATCAGCAGAATAATTACAACAGCTATAACATGGATTGGGCCGACAGTCAGTCATGGAATCAGCCTAGCCCTCAACAAAGGTTTTTTTCAATGTTTACAATCTTTTTTAAGTCTTCTTACTTCATCTATTATTTCGTGGCGTTCTAGGCACTCGGTTCCACATCCACAACAAACGATGAGTCCTGATTACTACAGTAATCAGGCTGCACAATACGAAAATGTCCAAAACACGGGGTACACGAGGACACCCGCCGATTCGTACTATGCTACACAGCAGAGGTTTCAAGCCTCGAGTAGTGGTTTAGAAGGTTAGCTGTGGAACATTTTAGTATTGGAAGGGTTTTTTAAAAGAAAGAATCGTAGGAATTTTTTTTTTGGATTTGCTTGTAAACAAAAAAGAACAACTTGTGGAGTCATCAACCAGTTCCTCAAATTCCTTTTTTTATCGCTTTCAAGTGAGATGTGAGAAGGGGTGACTTTATTCTAGGCAAAATTTTTTTGATTGTTAGGAGTGATCAATTACTTTAAAAATTTTGGAGGAAAATTTTTATAACCTTTTTCAGTAATCATTGTTTTGTTGAATGAAATAGTTTGTATTTGATTTGAAGGCAAGCTTTTTTGTGGTATTGATTTTGTCACTTATCGTAATTTGCACTTTCTATCTCCATTTTTATGCTCCCATAGTTGTTACTTAATTTATAGGTTTTTCTATGCCTGATTCGTTTTCTCAGTCATTTGTTTCCGATCCCATGTTAAACGCAGCGAAACAGATTGGTGGGCAGTTTGCGGAACAGCAAAGAGAAAAGGTATTTTTGCGTTAACTTTTTCGCCTACTTAGTATCAGTTCTTTTTTTGCTGCGATTACGGTTTTGATTATCGCTGTAAATTGGTTTTCAGCTGGCGAGGTATTTATCTGCTTTCCAGTTGAAGTATTATTTTGCTGTTGACAACAGTTACGTTGGGAAGAAATTAGGAATTCTTCTTTTCCCGTTTGCGCATAGGGTTTGTTAGTTCTCGTCTTCTTTTTTGTTTGAAGCCTTTTTAGTTTTGTTGCTTTTTCTTTTTTTTCTTTACTCAGATACTGCTGAAAGTACCAGAGTTTACTAATATCATTTGAGAAAATCTGCAGGATTGGTCTGTTTGCTATAACAGTTCGGACACTCCTGTGCCACCTCGTATGGATATTAATGCTCCAGACTTATATATTCCTATTATGGCTTTCACTACCTATGTATTGGTTTCTGGAATAGTTTTGGGGACACAAGGAAGGTATTTTTTCCTTGGTTGTTTTGTTGACATTATGCAACAAAATTTTGCTTTAGTCTTTCATGAAACAAAGTTTCAATTTCCTGCTGCTTTCTTAACTTGTTTAAATTTATAGGTTCACTCCTGAGCAACTAGGTATTATTACGACGAATGCATTAATATACTTAGTGTTAGAAAACATTCTACTGTTGATCACTAAGTATGTAATGAACATTTCTCAAGCTCTTAGTTTTTGGCATACCCTCGCATATAGTAGTTATAAGTATTTGGGGTTAGTTTTCTTTGTAGTCACACGCTTTATGTACTTGTTTTCTTCTTTAAACGAGTATAATTCGTTTGCTGTGTTGAGTTTTGGTAGTAATTACAGAATGGTCGTTAGCTTACTGGCTTTTTTACTCGGAGGAAAAACCCCATATTATGGCGTTTTGGGATACACGTCAGTAGCGATTGTCTTCTTTTTAGTTGGTTTTTCCCCCTTTTTCTTACAGTATTTTACACGAAAGGCGTTTGTGTGTTGTACATTTATATGGTTTTTTTTTTTTTTTTTTTTTTTTTTTTTTTTTT